CGCACTGTTTCGATACGCAGACTGACGTTGGACGGCGCACAGGAGGTGCCTGGATCCTGCTCTGCAGACAAGTTGAAGCAGATAAATAAGCCCGCAGTAATAGGTCACTTTTATTGCAAAACGTCAATGTATTCCTAGCGAGCTACGCTAATATGTCATGTACTTGCTACAGTTGTGATAATGTCTGACCTAGACGAACTCATAAATTGCACTTCTCTATGCGTGACAATCTTTTGTAGAGGAGCTAGAGAACTCGACGGAGGCATCCGTCATATGACTCAAAAAGTAGCGAGGTGCAAAAGGATACATTACTCGAAATAAGATAGAAATGAATTAAACACGCGAAGCATAAAATGTGTTCACAGAGGCTGAAGTCGACAGTGAAAAATTCTAAATAATCGATCTTTTGGCTTCTTCTGCAGCCATTTGTACTGTCACACAAACATTTTGGGCATGGAGCTGCCTCATACTACATCCAGAGTCGCGCAGCAATGAACAATGCCATAAAAAGCTTCAGGAGATAGCGAAACTTTGAGTTCAGGAGGACTCGCTCAAAGGGTGGTAAAGAACTGCTGGTACGGTGCGCGAAAGGCCAAAGGGACGTAAAGGTATGCAAAGACCACGTTGAATTAGTCCAATTTCACACAAGGCAAGCAACAACTCATTGTATGTGAAAGTATCAAATGAAACCGCCGGTCGATGCCGGCATCAGGGAATACTTGTGAGGGAGTTATATCGTGGGTTAAATATCCCACACGAACCTTTTCATCAAAGAACCTCGCGTGTTTAACATTACATTTTCATTATACAGGCAGTATTGAGGTGTGAAATAAGACCGTGAGGGGGGATTAGTTATGCCTTCTAAACCAGAAAATGCACTCGATAATCAACCTAAGACACCAAAAAGGTATATGTACCACAAAACCTTCAGACAGACAGATTGGCTCTGGAACCGCCCATTCGTAGCCGACGCCCAACCTTGCTGTGTCTGGTGTCCTTGTTCAAGACCAGTTGCCTCAAGGTCATCCACTATATTAGTGAGCGTTTTCAGACGCGCTCACCTGCAGAGACTTGACCGAATTCCACTCAGACACATACACACACGTGAGTCCAGGTAGTCGAGCTGTTCAAACGTCACTTGAAAACGCCCCTTCCCCCACTCTCGGCTGATACAGCATAGGCTACCAGACAGGACACCCCTCGGCGAATGCCACAGGCACAGACCAACTCCCGAACCTGATCGGCAACACTCTTAAAACAGCTGTCACCACTCTCACACTCTCTCAGGCATGACTTCGCCAGTGACCACTGCTACCGGAGACAGCAAATCAGGGTTCTATACGCATAAATTCCTCTCACAGGTGCCTTTTGCCTACAACTTGAGGTTTTGCCTAAGAATTGTGGTACTCTGAGTACTCCCACCACTTAGACACTACACTACTACAACTACCATGATAATCCCCACCAAAACCCCCGTTCTCATTGACATATTCACTCAAAGTGGGCACTTCAACTCTCACACGTATTGTCACCAGAAAAAAGGAGAGCTAAACGTCTGGGAAGAGTTCAACGAGTGGTTCGAATAGGTGAATAAAAGATAGCAGAAGACTCTGGCCCCACGCCATGTCAGACAGCGTGGCAAACTAGTGATGGTCAATGCAGTTGGGAGGCCGAATATTCCTAACACGTTCTTTTCTGGACCAACTTCAATGAACACTCTTCCCAAACAACCGAAAGGAAGATGGCCCTGGACTCACCTGGTATCAGCTGATAGCCATGCAGTTCTCTGGGCGCAGCTTCTTTCAGGGTGACACTGTGTTTCCTTGCGTACCGGGCCTGGTCTCGTTGGCCATGCTTTATGGCGGACATCCGTGCAACGGGGAACTTAAGAAGACCAATTGTGGTCCCTAGAACGTCAAAATAAGTATGGAAGAGAAAA